TTCTGTTTTTAGTAGAGATGACAGTCTTGCTTTTGCTCAGGCTGGCTTTAAACTCCTGAGCTCAAGCAATCCACCCACCTCGGCCTCCCAAAGTGCTAGGATTACAGATGTGAACCACCATGCCCAGCCCCAACCTTGTCTTAAGACTCCATATAAAAATTTCCTTAGATGGTCTGTTTGTTGGTCTATTCAGTCATTCATTCATTTTGTAAGTACTGCATGTACTTATGGGCTGGGCAGGGACTGTGCAAGGCCCTAGAACACAAAGGTGAGCAAGGCAAACGTGCCTCCCCCATCCAGAGACAGCCTGTGGGCTAGTCTACAAGCAGACATTCCCTTTGGTCTTCCTGCAAAGGAAGGAAAAGCTCCCTCTTTGCTATTTAAGGAATAATAAAAACACAAGTGACTTCTCACAACTCTTGCTTGTAAAATCAAAGAGGATAATAGCAATGTAACAGCTTCCTAAAATTTATCTGGATACTCAGAACTTCAGTTTATTGCACTTTAAAGAAAAGTGAGAAACACTCTTTAGTGGTTGATTTCAAAGAGGAGTGTCTTGGCCTCTTGGAAGAATCTGGAGAGCACATAATACCTTTATTTATGGTGGAGAATGTTCTGATGTCAAGGTCCAGGGAGTTCTTTACTTAGCTCAGCAAGATGTTTACAAAGCCTGGCTCCCACTAGGTTCAATTAACATTTATTGACTTCTCCTCTGTCAATACCTATGCTTTTAACAAAAGAATTGAAACACCTACTTCACACAAAAATGGTTAAGTAAATTTGGCTAAGAGCAGCAGAACATTGGAAAATTCACTTTATGTTTCTTAGATAAATATACAGCTATAATAAAACATTTTCTAGTAGGAGTCCACAATAGGTTATTTTCACTATTAAAAAAAAGTATCTTTGGAAAAGTAGTGCAGTTAATGCATGAACCATTTTCTGTTGCCTTGGTGCCAGCTCTTACCTCCCTGAACACTGTCATTATAAAAGAGGGCAGGGAGGAGAGGCCAGCTCTGTTTCATATCCTCATTTACCTCTCTTCGAACTTCAGCTGGAATTTTAGGCAAATCACCTTAGTAAGGATAAGTAGCCTTAGGAGAAAATATCTATAAATACCAGAGAAAGAAGGGTCTTAACGGGGGTTAAGGTAGGTTGGGGATGTGACACACCTCTCTAGGGCTTGATTTTTTTTTTTCCTCACTCTGTTGCTTAGGTGGAATGCAGTGGCATGACCACAATTCACTGCAGCCTCAAACTCCTGGCTCCTAGGTTCAAGCTATCCTCCCGCCTCAACCTCCTGAGTAGCTGGGACAGCATGCCCCACCATGCCCACTGAATTTTTTTTCTTTTTTTCATAGAGACAGGGTCTCTCTATTTTGCCTAGGCTGGTCTTGAACTCCTGGCCTCAAGCTTCCTTCCTGCCATAGGCCCCCAAAGTGCTGAGATTACAGGTATGAGCCACCCCAGTCCTGGTCCAGGAAAAGGTCTTTGGTACTGGAAAAGGGTCACTTGACCCAGCCACAGTTCTCTCTGCTAACTCTGTTCTGTCTACTAACCTAATATCCCCAGTGAAAATGATCAGCACACAAGATCTGGAAGAAATGGGGTTAGTTAGTAAAACCACTGAGAATGTTTCTAAGCATTGCCAGGTGCCTTCTCCTTCGTTCTGGAAATTCATGAATATGTAGCCAATGATATCTCTTTCCCTAGAGAATATGGGGGCAGGGAGAAGAAGCTCCAATCAGCAAAGGAGTAGGATGGAAATTCCTCCCAAGCTTTACATTTGAAAGGCCATCTGTTAAGGCAGAGTGAACTGAGACCTCAGACTGTCTCCACTAATTGTTATAATGTCAGTAAAATCCTAATGCCACAGTGATGAATTAACACCAAGCCATGTACCGACATCAGCTTCTCTCAAATGAGCTGTGACAGAGGCACTCATAAATATGTAAACAGAGAAGTTTGGGTGGCTTTAATATTAGCCCTGACCTTTTACATTGAGTGTAGGTATTTCTGGGCATGGAAGAGAAAATGAAGTCTGTTCTGACAAGAAGTGTTAGCCCTTGAGAAAGAGCCTCTCTGGCTGGCAGGGCCTTAGGGGGAACAGTGGCCTCTCTTGCTTGTTGTCCCTCTCTGAGCACGTTGGCCTCTGCCAGGCCCTGTATGTAGTGAGCTTTGCCTCCTTGATGGGGAGATGCACCCGGGCTTCCTAAAACTGCAACCGGAGCCGGGTACTGAAAGTTTCCATCAAGTATCACGAGTGTCAAAAAACTGTCCTCCCCTCCAAGTAACAGAGCTTTCTCAAAAGTCCTAAATTTCCAGGATCACAATAATCTACCTGTGGATTAAAGCAAGGCTGGCACACCCCCATGGAAAGAAAAGCTCATTGTCTAGGGCGGGCTAAGGCCCCAGTACAGGTTTAGAAAGGCAGGGGCTTGGTGGGCAGAGGGGCTGGGATCCTTGTTTTTGCAGAATTTGAATTATGTGTTGAATGGAATAATACAGTTCACTACTTCTTATGCTA